AGCGCTCAGTTGGAGACTCGCGATGACGTTTTGTCATCGCTCCTGGATTTGAAAATTCTTTAGGCTTAACGGGAGTGTCTCACAAGACATGTAAATGTCTTGCGTCGTTTTCTGGGTCTCCACCCTGACCTTGATCGCACCCTTTTCATTATTTATATTCGCCTTGGAATAGATCTGAGGGTGTATCGCGCTTTATGGGACTCCAACTCGCTGGGGGATTTCGTTCACTCTCGCATGGTTGAGAAAGCTCGTCTAGCTATCTCCGGGTCTCACTCTCCTGTCTTTGTTATCGTCAGAGATAACAAGACGTAGTACTTCTTCGATCGGACGGTGCCAGACCTCCACTTTTCCCTCACCCTCCAGCCATCGGATAGTAGTCAGGCGCTTTGGCGCTACCATTCCTCCGCATACGTCGACGTACTGGAGACTAGGCACAACTTTATCCTTGGCACTCCTTGGTCTCGCAAATTCCATDGCACAAAGGTCGAATGGGCGACCGAGACACTCATTCTCAAAACGAATTGTGGTCAAACTTATCCAGTCTCATTTATTGGCACCACGGGCGACACCCTTCCCGACCTACCTCCTAGGACCCCTGTCCCTCTGGCCCCACCTCGACATTGCCTTCACCACCCCTCGCGAGTTCGCTTACTTCTTGCGCCAAGAGGACGTCACCTTCTACTTAGTGACTATCATGGATTTTCTTAAATGTGATCCCCGCTATACAGATGTTAAGATCATTTCATTAAGCTCGATGCCCCTTTTCCTTCATTTCTGTGACTTTTATCTCTGCATCCACCCCTTAGTCTGTGGATACCCCTTCGCATCCCACGTTCCTCCGGCATCCAGTGGTAAATCCACACATAGGTCTCGTGTTCACACCATCACACAAACGCTTAGGAACTCACGTGGTTCACGACCAACTTAAAACTCGCCGTTCGTGACACGATTTGAAAGTATCGTGACGTCTTTTCCTCTTATTTCTCATACAGCAGGATCCGTCCGATATGCGGTTTTGAGCATTCTATCCATCTCGTGTCTGTCACTGCCTGACTATCGTGCCCACCATCAAGCCTCCTACCGACTCTCGATTCGAGAGGCGATGAAACTCAAGCGTCAACTTGAGGAAACCCTTCAACTTGGTTTCATTACACTTAGTAACTCCCCTTGTGATGCACCCATCCTCTTTGCTTGCAAAGCAGATAGAACCCTCTGCCTCTGCATTGATTATCGTGATCTTAACCGTTATATGGTTAAGAAGAATTAATCCATATCTTGCGCATATGAGTTGTTTAACCGTCTGACAGACAACCGTTTCTTTACGACGATCGATTTTCGTAGCCATTACCACTAGATCCGCGTTGTCATAGAGAACCATCTAAAGACCGTATTTCGATCGTGCTTCGGCCACTACGAGTTCACAGTGATGTCGTTCGGCCTTATGAATGCACTCGCCACCTTCGTCACAGCGATGAATGATATCTTCAACAACGTCCTTGAAGAATATGTTCTCGTATACGTGGATGACATATCGGTTTACAAATGTACCTTAGGCGTGGATGAACGATATTTTTAGGGATATCCTTGAAGAATATATTATCGCACGGGTGGATGGCATCTCAGTTTACAAACGGCGCTTCTTTTGTTGTATGTCGAACACAATCGAGTTCAACACAACAATCCAAGGTTAGGAGGTGTTTGCGCGATCGCGTCAAATATGATCGTGTTGAACATAATTGTGTCAAACACGATCGTGTCGAACATGATCATGTCGAATACGACCTATTCGGCACAAAAACTCCAGGGGGGTGAGTCGTGTTCAACACGACAAAGGCAGCGCTTGCCACGATCGTGTTYAAGGCGACAACCAAAGTGCGTGCCACGATGTGTTGGACACGACAACCAAAGCACGTGTTTCTCAGCAAGCGCCTCGTTTGTCGTGTGTCGAATAGGATCGCATTCAACATTATAACCAAGTTGAGCAGACGCTTTGCATGATCATGTCGAACTGACTTGAATACAAACGTGACTTAAAGATTATTATGTGGGGATTTGCCACATGTCGCTTTGTCGTTGCATCTATAACAAAGGAGACGATCCTCATCATCCGTTTATGCCTTTTTGTGTCGCCTGTTGTCCTCGTCTACCACTGATGTTC